TATTAACATTATTGATGCTCTATTATGTTTTTTGTTTACTTTCTAAAGTATTTCCCAATTGCATTTTAATGTGGTTCTATAGCCATACTCAGAAGTGTTACCTGCCCTGTGATTGACAGCTCTGAACTACACTGCCGTTCTTCTACATCAGTATAGACAATAACCGTTGACTAAACAACCAACCATTGATTATACATCTTGTAAGTTTGTTTAGGACTCTTGCTTTGCTGTGAAACTTTGGTTCTGCCTCTAAAGATTAGGAGTAGAAGGCAAGGGGAAGGGCCTATACACCCCAAGAAAAAATGTGCTTACCAAGAGGCAACAGGCATCCACTTACAGGTCACATCTTACCACAACTCAGGATATCTCTGTTCCTCTTCCCTAATCACCTTTTGGCATCAGTTCGGCTACAGTCTTAACACCTATGACCTTACTTCTCTATCTCCTCCCACTCACCAATGGCTAAACAAGGTCGACACGAGAGGAAACCTAAATCGATCTATTAAATTTCTGCAATCAAATAAACCATGGAATCTTAGGAGCTGGAAGGGACCTCAGAGGTCATCTTCACTACCCGTGGCTTAGTTTAGTAGAAGGCTTGCAGAGAAGCAACCCAAAGATGTTAATTATTCATATCACACCTGTCCTTGTTTACTGAAGATAACAGAGATCTGGCTGCAAATATATCCTGATAAACCAGTATCCTGTTTAGCAGGCATGAAGAGAGAAGGTTTGGGATTCTCTTTCAGGTAGTAAGCTAGAGAAATTCAAGGTTTTCTCCCCTTTTTCCTTACTCTGAACCTTGAATGTACCATCCTCCACCAAAGTTCTTCCCTGATGCCTCATTGTTGAGTGTAGATGACCTTGACTACTGAATGAAATCCTTGAGGGTAAGATCTGCTTTATCCTTGTCTCTCCAGAGTCTAACACAGAGCCTGGAAGGTAAATACTTGTTGAGCCTGAGTCTCAATGACTATGAAAAGGATCTGGAACTTTGGAAGGTCCCTCTAAGCTGGTTTCAATTACTAGTCAAGGCCTGTCTCAGAGAACCAGCCTGGCTAAGGGCAGAGAGGCTGAGGGTAAGCTTACACACCAGAGTATGAATAGTTTCTCACTATAAAAACTCATGAAAATGCCATTCAGGCACACATCAAGTGTAACCATGAATCAATAACTATAATCACACTTGTAATAAGAAAACTGAGACTCCATATCTTTTTTTTTTTAACATTTCAGAAAACAGTATTTCTAGATACATACTATGAGTAAGCATTATCTGTCTCAACAATGACTGATAAGGTCCTCAGCAACAGGGCCTATTATACTCAGTTAATGCCAGTCATTAGACATGCAAAAATAGTACAGCGGTTACAAAACAGAAAAACATTATCTTGATGAAGGAGGAGTCAGTAGGTACTAACAGAGCCCGAGACTCTCCCCGGCATGGGAGTCAGGAAAGCCTAGGTTCAAATTGCGTCCCTGACACTTCTTAGCTGGTTTGATCGTGGACATGTCTATAAAACTCTCTGAACCTGTTTCTTCATCGGTAAAATGGAGAGAGTCTCTGTGGAACCTACCACACAAAACTGTTGGGTGACAAAAAAGAGAAGAAATGTGAAACACACTGCTGCAGAGGCAGCAGGATGCCCACATGGACAGACCAGAGTTCCAATCCTGCCTCACCCTGAGGAGCGGGAGCCTGACACTCAGTTTGCTCTTCTGTAAAATGGGGATAATTGCGGCACCTCCTTCACCAGGTTATTATGTGGATCGAATGAGATAAAATATGTAAAGTTCTTTGCAAACTTTGAAGTGCTAGACGTGTGAGTGTGTGTGTGGATGGGTGTGTGTGAGAGTGTGTGTATGTGTGTGTCTTTATCAGTGTGTGTGAGTATGTCTGCGTGTGTGTGAGTGTATATGTTTCTCTGTGTGTGTGTAATAATACTGTTATTAGACATTCTTACTTCATTCTCATCTTTTTTTGACAGAGATAGTCTGAGGACAAGTCACTAAACTGCTTTCATTCTTCTCTTTTAACACACTGTGGCCACTACCCAGGGCCCATCTGCACTTTGCACCTGAACAAGAGCACTGGGGAATGCCAGCTTGGCCAGTTCAGATGCCTTGAAAGCGTCTACTGGGCAATTCCAGCCCCAGAAAGGACAGACAGCAGGACGTGGACCACTTCCTGGAGCCCAGGTCACTGCGTCTTGTTCTTTATCCGGGGAGTTTGACAGGAGCTTTTACTATTTTGAAGACAAAAGGACTCTTGTCACTACACGTCTCCAACATGGAGTCTATAATTAATGATGAATTAGTGGACTTGAGGGGCACCGGTGAAGGCTGGCCATAGGGTGTCAGGATGATCTGAGTTGAAGTCCTGCTCGCAACACACGCTGAGTCACGTAGCCATGGAGAAGTTAACGTATCAAGGCCCTGGACTCTTTGAGATAACAATGATAATAATAATAATAATAATAAACAAGGCACCGATATGCATCCAGGAAAGGAGTTTCCTACGTGAATAAAATCACACATCCATAGCATAAATCTAGACATACTGGGCTGAATGGAAAGCTAAAGACAGTCAACCAGCGTCATGTCATTTTTATGACCCTCTCTCTCCCCACCAAATGAATTAGTTATAAAGGGACCTTTTGGAATAGCCCTCTGGTCCTTATTAAGGACTGGAATTTCATAGCCATATTGGAGATTTAGAGATCATCTCCACCAAACCTTTCATTTGACAAATAAGACAAATGACATGATTTGTGCAAGTCACCAGGCTAGTTAGTGGCAGAACGAGGAGAGACTAGGGTCAAAGGACTGAGGGGTGAACGGAAACTTCCATCTCCCCTCTATGATGTATACAGAGGTTTGTATACATGCTGTCTCTCCCCTGTTAAAATATAAGCACCGTGAAGGAAAGGAATGTTTTGGCCTTTCCATATATCCTCAGTAAATGCTTATTGGCTAATTGATATAGTTCAACCCCTTCAGTTTATAAATGAGGAAACTGAGGCCCAGCAAGGTAGAGACTCCTCCAAAGTCACCTGGTGGCAGAATCCAAATTGGACCTCCCCAGTCCTTAGACTTCTTGCCGCATCAGCACACCAAGGGTTCCTGATTCCTACATTTTTATTTTTATCTTGAAAGCTAATAACACAATCACACCTTAAATTGGTAACAGGGGCCAACTGTTTACAAAATGCTTTTACATATGTAGTAGGATTCCAGCCTGGACCTGAGATTTCCTGAGCCTTAGAAAGTTTCGTAGGGACCAAGAGGGCTGGCAGTCAGAGGTGAGACTCGAACCCAGGTTTTCTGTCCTCTGCGTCCAGCTCTCTCTATCTGGGAGACATATGTAAAAGGGGTCAGGGCTTAATACACATTACTCAGAGTTGCAGGAAGAGGCAGATAAGGGTTGCCCAGGATGGGCAGGCATGAATGGGTTATGAACTCTGTCCTTGCTGGAAATACTAAAATCTATGAGCTCAGGAATGGATCCAGGCTCCCATTGATTAGCTCCTCCAAGCAGCCAGCCCTGGGGAATTGACGGGGAAGCCGAATCTCAGAGGGGTGAAGAGATATGGTTTGCCTGGTTGCCTCCCTGACTCCTGCATCCCCAGACCCACCCATAGTATGAGGAAGTAACTAGCCCCTGGAATCAGACACCCCATGACTTCTCTGGTCTCCCTGGTTCTAACATCAGGCCACTGGGTAGGATCATGTGGTGGGTTTGGCTATTGCCTCAGGCCAGAGGCCAAGCTTATGGGAAGGAAGATGGGGAAAATCAGAGATGGCAAGCTGGGGAAGGGAGAGGGCAGAATCAAGCCTTATGCAGGCATTTCCTTCCCTAAGTCACTAGCCAAAGCAATTTCAACCCCCTTCAAGACCTCCAGCAAGGTATTAAAACAATAAACCAGCAAAGACTCCCCAAGGTAAATGTGACAACCTGAGGTCACACAGCCCTTGATAGGAATAAGAACGTGGGTTTGGCCTTCTCAAACTCTAAGGAAGTAGGTCGGGTCCAGGGTGATCTCCGGGTCTGACCAGGTACCACTGCCTTCTAAAGAAGACCAGACTGAGAATGGAGAAGACATAGGGACACAGAGTTTGGGAGGTTGGGGGGGGGTGCCTCCAATTACGCTACAAAGAAGAGACAACAGCATCAAAGGTTGCACGAAGCTCGGGATTCCAGAGATGCCCGGCTCATACGTTCCGAAGCAAGGGGAAAGCCCCAAAGGGGATCCCATACCAACCACGCCCCAGAAAGGTCTATTTCCTGCACTCTGAACGTCTGAGCCAAGGATGAGTTTGGGGAAATGGTGGGTCGTGCAGCCGGGATCCTAGTACGGGTCACCCCCAGCAGGAGGCACACCTTTTCTTTGGGGCAGGGTGGGGCACCTCATGGGCACATGCCAGGTCCGCCAATTCGGCGGATATGGTAAATCCCCTGGGCTCGGACCCTGAATTCCTGAGATTGCTGGTGCACGGCGGACCCTCCCCTCTCCCCCCGAGCGCGCAGCTCCGTCCCCACCCCCAACCCATGGAAGTAGCGAAAGCTGGGCACCTCGCCCCCAGAGGGGGATCTACAGAGAAGCTGCCAGTGCCTTGGCATCCGGCATGGGGCGGGGGGCCTCCAGCCTGGTACGGTCCCTACCCCTCTGCCCACCTCCTCCCGGTGCATCGGTGCCCAGGGGCGAGCCGTGGGCAAGGCGGCTCCCGTGGCCCCAGCGGCAAGGATCGGGGGGCCGCCCCAGGCTCGGCTGCCGCTGCCGCTCTGGCCCCCACCGGCGGCAGCCCCGCGGGCGGGGGCGCCAGCTGGCCCAGGCTCCGGGGAGTAAGGCAGCCGGCTAGAAAGGCAGACTCGGAGACGTCCAGCCAGCCCGGATCGAGCCTGATTGTGCCTGGGTCTCGGTCCCGGCGCGGGCCCTGGTTCCGTTCCCAGCTCCCCCACCCCCACCCCAAAGCCGACACCGGCCAGGGCCCCCTCTTACCTGCCTGCCCGTAGCCGCCTCGGGCGCCCGCCGAGGCCAAGGTTAAGAGCGCCTGGCAGGGTGGCAGCCGAGGAGGTGCGCGCCTCTGGCCATCGCCGCTTCTCCGGACGTGGGGCCGGATCCAGCGGCCGTGGCCACTGCCCCTCTCGGCTCAGCCGGGCCGAGCCACGCGCTTCGCCCCTCTCGCACCCGGGGCCGGCGAGGCCCGTGGAGCCAGCGGTGCCAGCGCGGGCGGCCAACTCCCAGGCGGCGCCCCCGGCTTTGGCCACAACTTCTTTGCGAGCTCAGCCTGGCCTGGCGGGCTGGGGAGGGCGGAGCCCGGCAGGCCGGGGGCGGGGCGCGAGCACCCAGGGGGGGCGGGGCCCGAGCACCCAGGGGGGCCGAGGCACGCGCTCTGCCACCAATAAGGGTGCGCCTCTCAGCAAGGAAGGACGGGGGGGGGGGGGGGGATTCCATGACGTAGTACAGGGAGCTCTGGCCTCTCCCTGGGGCCAGGTAGGCGCAGAGGTGGAGGAGCGGGAGGAGTGGGAGGAGGGGTCCACCGATGCCAGGGTCCTAGATCCGGAGCGGATAGGGACCCCGGGGGCCACATAGTCCAGTCCATTGGTTGCATAAATTGGGACATTAAAACCCACAGAGGTGAAGCGATCACCCAGGTAGTGAGCATCGGAGGTGAAATTTGAACCCAGGGCCTCTGACTCCAGGCACAATGTTCCTGTCACTGTACCGGGCTGGAGGGGTAGGTTTGGGGGTAGGGTTTTCCCTCTTAAGGAAACAGGGGCCACCAGAGAGACAGATATGGAGGGGGGAGACAGATGTGGGCCAGAAGATTTGCTGGGGTTGAGGAGAACGCTTGGAATATCCCCAGGGCCAGATGTGGCATCCAGAGATGATGCGCGGGCAGTCATGAGGAATTGGGATTGTTGAGACGGGAAAAGATGTGATAAAACTGGAGGCAAAAGGGGGAATTAGGGGGTAGGCAGGTGTGGGAACAGAGGGAGCAACAGATGTGGCGAAAGAGATTCGAAAGAATGCAGATGTGGGGGCCGCTGGCTCGGATCTGAGAGTCGCTGTACCCTGCAAAAACTGTGCGTGTGTGTGTGGGTGGATGGGTGTGTGTGGGTGTGGGTGTGTGTGGGTGTCGGGGGAGGGAGATCAATAGGATGGTGTGTCCAGCAGTTCATAGGCTAATTGGGGGCCAGGAAGGAAAATCCAGATGTGCCCAAGGCACCTAAAAATGAAAGAACTCTCCAGCATAAGCAGTTTGCATTTACAAACCTCAAAAGACTCCCCCACTACCCAATGGGGGGAAGGGGACAGGAGGGAGGGGCAATGGAACTTCCGTTTCACTGCTGGAGGCAAGGTTCTTCCCTTCCCGGAGTCAGTCTCCCTGTCCCCATTGACATTCCCATTCCCGATTTCTCTAGGATACTTTAGTTTTGAGCTGTGTGATGCCTCCTTCACCCCCCACTCTCCCCCATGCGGAAGGGATCGAGGTAAGGGCAAACCAGGGCGTGCCTGAGTAGCCAAAGTGGGCTACTTCGCCGAGGACAGTCTCCCGGCCTCGGAATTCCAAGAAGATTTCAAATCAAAGGATTCTAGGATCGGAAGTCCACTTCCCCACCTTCGGGAAGTCCTGTACTGTACCTCCTTACACGGTGCAAGGAATGTGCGCGCACGCGGTCTCTCTCTCTCCCCCCAAATGGTTAACTCTAACACCACCCTGTGTCCCCCATTTCCACCCCTGTTTCTACCCAGGTTTAAGCTCTGCCTTATCTCACCTCGAGTCTTTCAATAATCGCTGTGGGATTCTTTTCATTATATAAGAAAGGAAAACCTTGTGTTTCCTTTCTCCTTCCTTCTTCTCTCTACCACTCCTCTGTCCATCTCCACCCCTTGTCTATCTCTGATTTTGTCTATCTCTTTGTCTCTCTGTCTGGCTCTGCCCCCTTGTCCCCGGCTTTCTATTGTCACTAAATCTCTGCCTCTGGGTACCTACTGGGAATCCTGCCACCCCCGGCTGTTGGGAAAGGGAGGGCTTATATCCCAAAGGGAAGTATTTACTTGACAGCATTGATGGGAATAGCATAGAATGCCTGATGTGTGTGTGTGTGTGTGTGTGTGTGTGTGTGTGTGTGTGTGTGTGTGTGTGCACGCCTGTGTGTAATGATTTCTCATAAAGGAATGCTCCAGCTCTCATGTAGTCACTGCACATTTTCTCTTATAAACCAGGTGACAGTCTCTGGCCCTTTAAAAAAAATGGCCAACCCTCCCCCAAGATTTGGCCCCACGCACAGCTCATTACTCCTGAACAAGCTTATTAATACTCTAAAATTAGCATTCTCCACTGAGTTTTATTTTTAAAAGTAACAATCTAAAAGTCTAAAGGGGGTAAATCACTGGTTCCAAACTGGAAAAAAAAAAAACAGAAAACAGTTCCTGGGATTCTGCTTCTCCAGCTGTTGCTTTCCCTTTTCTAGGTTCTCACACTATTGTCAGTCTTCAGAGTGGCTCCTTTGCTGAGAAAATAGTATTTGTTGCTTCAGGAATTCTCTCAACTTTCCAATCAATGACTGTTTCCATTTTAGATAGTTTCAGAACCAGTAGAAACTACACTTTCCATATGTGAAATATAAGACATGAGAAGTATATCTGGTACCTGAATGGCCCAAAATTTGAACTAGATTGTCTAATTGGGAGGTAGTAGAGAGTCCAATCGGAGTAAGTGGAGCTAGATTCAGATCCTGGCTCTGCCTGTTACTGGCTGTGTAACCTTAAGCAAGTCACTTAATCTAGATTTGGATTTAAATCCAGGTTCAGATGCAAGACAGAAATGAAGGAGTCACTTGTTAATTTTGTGCCTGACTCTCTGTGACCCCATTTGGGGTTTTCTTGGCAAAGATCCAGGAATACTTTGCCATTTTCTTCTCAAGTTCATTTTACAGATGAGGAAACTGAGGCAACCAGGATTAAGTGACTTGTCCAGGGTCATATATACAAGTGCCTGAGGCTAGTTTTGAACTCAGATCTTCCTGACTCCAGGTGTGGTGCTCTATCTACTGAACCACCTAATTGCCCAAAGATCTTACACTCTGTTAAAGGAAATAATATGTACAGATACAAGCACATGTAAAATAAATACTAGGGACTGGGCGGGGGGGGGGGTGCAGAGAAGCAGTGGCAGCTGGGAAAAGGTTTCATATAGAAAGGAGTCCTTGAGCCAAATTTTTTTTCTTTTTTTAATTAATTTATTTTTAGTTTTTGGCATTCGCTTTGATAAGATTTTGAGCCCTAAATATTTTCCCTCTCCCTTCCCTCCCCTCTCCCCAAGATGGCTTGCAATGTGATATAGACTATACATGTACAATCATAATAAACATATTTCCACATTAGTCATGTTATAAAGAAGAATTAGAACCAAAGGGAAAAGCCATGAGAAAGAAAAAACAAAAAACAACAAAAGAAAGAGAAAATAATCTGCTTCCATCTGCATTCAGGCTCCATAGTTCTTTCTCTGGATGTGGATAGCATTTTCCATCATGAGTCTTTTGGAATTGTCTTAGATCATTTCGTCACTCAGAAGAGCTAAGTCTAACAAAGTCGGTCATCATACAATGTTGCTGTTACCATGTACAATGATGAGTCAGCTTTGAAGGAAAGTGGGGCAAACAGGTACAGATATACAATAGGCATTGAGTGATATGGTCAGGTGAGAGAGTAAAGTGGGGAATATTGCTTTGGGACTCATCTATATAGTAGTGAGTGTTGAACCAACTCATAGGAACAGATGAGCTTAACAAGAAAAAGAATACGCTCAGTTGTGTCCAATCATTTGTGACCCCTTTGGGGGGTTTTCTTGGCAGAGGGCTGGAGAAGTTTGCCATTTCTTTCTCCAGTTCATTTTACAGAGGAGGAAACTGAGGCAAACAGGGTGAAGTGACTTGTCCAAGGTCACAACTAGTAAGTGTCTGAGGCCAGATTTGAACTCTGGAAGACGAGTCTTCCTGACTCCAGGTCCGGTGATCTATTCACTGCACCACCTAGCTGCCCTGTGCACATCTGCAACTTGTCTGAAATTGCGAGTTTTTGGGAATTGGCAGGAAGAGGTAGGGGAGTGGAGGGGTTCAGTGGACTGGCAATGGTCATGTTGGCAGTATACATCAGAGCCAGGACTTGAACTCAGCTCTCCCTCCACCACCCTCTAAGACTTTAGTTGAAGGCCTTTTGAAGCATTCTTGGGACTAAAATGTCATGACCAGTGGCCAACTTCACAAAGAGGGTCTCCCTACTCAGCCTGCCTAATTGATCCTAGAATGACACACAGACGGCCTGTGCTTGCCTGGGCCCAGAAGGCTTCCCAGGCTGAAAGGAGCTGCCAGAGCTTGTGCCCCCAGAGCTCAGGGGAGGTCTTAGAGGGAGACTTGAATTGACAAAGTGCTGCCTGAAAAGATGGCAGAGGTAAGGGGATGCAAAGTCATATGCTTATTACCTGGGTGACATAGTAACAAGTAACAAGGACAAGTCACTTCACCCTGTTTGCCTCAGTTTCCTCATCTGTAAAACGTACTTGAGAAGGAAATGGCAAACCACTCCTGGATCTTTGCCAAAAAAACCCCAAGTGGGGTCACAGAGAATTGGACACAAAATGAACAATCATCTCCCTGAGCCTCCCCAAAGATCTGATCATGTCACTCCTCTGCTCATACCTCTTCAATGGAGCAGCTGGGTGTCATAGTGAATAGTGCATTAGCCAAAAGACTCGTGATGGAAAAGGCTGTCCACATCAGGAACCATGAAGTCTGAATGCAGATGGAAGCAGGCTATTTGCTCTTCTTTTCTTTTGTGGTTGTGTTTTATTTCTTCTTTCTCATGGTTCCTCCTATTAGTTCTAATTCGTCTATACATCATGACTAATGGGAAAATATGCCTAATATGAATGTATAAGTAGAGCCTATATCAGATTGCTCTTCATCTTGGGGAGGGAGGAGGAAAAAGAGGGGGAGAAAATTTAAAACTCAAAATCTTATGGAAGTGAATGTTGAAGACTAAAAATAAATAAATAATTTTTTAAAAAAGACCTACATTCAAATGTAACCACTGTCCT